TGGCAGTGAAACAATGTACAGTGGAATAAATGTAAAATTAAAGTTCTCCCATGTAAAATATCATATAATTCACAATAAAACATGAAAAAAAAAACACAGATTACTAAATCCTGGCTGTTTATATAAAAATAACCCCTTTTTTTGCATTTAATATTAGTCTGATCCAAATATAAGAAAATTATGCTGATATTTAGAATCATATCAAGAGTAATTTGAGAGAATATCTTAAGCCAAAAAAGATCCACTGCCATTGAGTCAGTTCTGACTCACCCTGTATAGGGTTTTCAAGACTGTAAATCTTTGTGGAAGCAGAAAGCCTCATCTTTCTCCCACAAGTGGCTGATGGGCTTGAACCATTGATCTTGTGGTTCATCATACAGTGCTTATCTTACAATGCCAAAAGTGTTACTAGAGAATATTTTAGAACTTTGAAAATGTCATTTTTGGAGATTATACAGTAACAAACAATTTTGTGAAATAATGCATTTAAAATGCAAAATCATATTATGATAACAGAAATCTGACTTTTCATTTTCTGAATGTATTTGTAATTCTTTCTACAGTGTGTAATAGAAAGCATTATTTTAAATTTAGTTAAGAATTTATAAAACACTGTTTTGTTTTTAATTCCATTCTGAGAGGAAGACCTAGAAGGGAGACAAATTATAGATTGGGGGTTCAAGATAGAAATCACTTAGTGAAGATTTAGGGGTGCTGAGGAGGATCAGCATAGATTTTCGGAATAGCCCTATTCTATACCTTCCCTATAACCTAAATATTTTTATTAATAGACAAATCTATTATAAAGATAGGGAACAAAGAATTTAGACAAACCCCCTTTTTCAGGTAAGCATCTGAGTTATAGAATTATCTAAACACTTCCAAAAATGTTTTTTAACTCTATTTCAAAAACTAAATTTAAGAAGTGCTGGGATATTCTGCCGCTTTTCAAAGTCCACTGCAATTTATGTTCTTCCTACCCGTGAGAACTACATCACAGTGGGGCTAGTTAGTTACCTCATGAATTTTTTAAGTGTAGGGGTGGTGCTGTAGAATAAGCACTGGACTTCTAATCACAAGGTCATCAGTTCAAACCAACCATCCATTCCTCAGAAATACAGGGTCACTGACTCGCAGCACTTATCAACAATAAACAGCCACCCCCTAAATAGCAAAAGCTCTCTTAATGATATGATCGGTATTATGGTGTGGCACTGTAGGATAAACACTGGACTGCTAACTGCAAGGGCAGTAGTTCAAACTCACCAGCTGCTCCTTGGAAACCGTATACAGGGTCGCTATGAGTCAGAATTGACTCGACGGCACTTAATAACAACAGGACTGGGATTTAAAAAAAAAAAAAGAAGTAAATGAAGTCTTCAACATTTTTATCCTTAATCTAAAGCAAAGATTTTAAAAGCATATTAATTTGCCAATCTTTTGTGTAGGTTCTTACTCTGTACTGTTTGCCCTATATAACATACATTTGTAATGTCACATCGAAGGATCCACTTTTTTCTAAAGCAGGAAAGGAACTTAATTATTGATATTAAATTGATTCAGATGCAAGGCAACCCCATGCCTTACAAAATGGATCTGACCTTCCTAGCTGTTGGAAGCAGATCTCCAAGCCTCTCTTCCATGGTGCTAATGGATGGGTTTGAACCACTAACCTCTTGGTTAGTAGACCAGTGCAAACTGTGCCACGCAGGAACCTGAACAAGAATTTAAGACTCCAGCAACATAATCTGAATTGAGAATCCCAGAATGTTGGAGATTCTTTTCCTAGTTATGCATAATATTTTCTCCAGTACCTGATTCTGCGTGGAAAAATCAAAATTCCATTTTCACATCAAACAGGTCTGTTCTGATACCAGCTGCACATGCAGCGCTTCTTCCTCTGACCCTCATCACTGGTGAGATCTGGGAGAGTTTCCAGTGTGGAGCGCCTCTGTCTCAAAAAGGGCTGCACTGACCCCACCACCCGCACTTCATGTGCATATCTTTCCCCTGGAAAACCATGGAGCTTTCTGGTTTACACATTTTAAACACAAACCCTTCTCCCTAAGGCCTGTTGGTATCACAGGGTGATCATGAGGTAATCCCGGGAAGGGTGATTATCACTAATCTGTGGTGAGTCTTTCTGGCTTGACTGGCCCCCACCTGAGAGCCTCCTCAGTAGCATAACCTGTTAGGTTACATGGACCCCTTCTCAAAGACACTTATGATTACTGGGGAAATCCCAGGGTTCTAAAGGTTATCTCTTATGAACCAAAGGAGCTCTGGTGATTGTAGGATAAACACTGGTCAGCTAACCTCAAGGTCTGCAGCTTAAACCCACCAGCCACTCTGAAGGAAACAGAGGAGGCTTTCTGCTTCCATAAATATTTGTAGTCTTAGAAACCCTTTACAGGTTGCTATGAGTCAGAATCGACTTAGTGGCAGTAGGTTTGGGTGTTTTGCTTCTCATGTACTGAAGGCAAAGGCCAGAGTTTTTGGGTAAAGTTAATGTGAGCCTCACAGATTCTATAGCAATTTTTGTTTAAGTCTTTCTCAATCCCCCTACATATTTTTTATAGAAACAATTGTGGTTGTTGTTAAGTGCCATTGAGTTGCTTCAAACTCATAGTGACCATGTATAGGGTTTCTGAGTAGTGGCTAGTAAGGTTTGAACTGCTGGCCTTGCAGTTCAAACTGAACTTGCGGTCCAGTGCATTTTCCTACAGTGCCACAATAGCTCTTTTTGTATTTAGATTTTATCGGTTTATAAATTTTTCCCAGCATTATATTATGAAAAATTTCAAATATACAACAATGTTATAAGACAAAGATAGTGAATGATTTATTATTTAATTTGATTGTTGTTGTTAAGTCCCGTCTAGTCGGTTCCAACCCATAGCGACCCTATATAGGGTTTCTGAGGAGCAGCTGGTGAACTTGAACCATCAACCTGTGGTTCAAACCGACTTTGCAATCTAGCGCAGTAACCCGTAGCACCATACCAGGACTCCTTGTAATTCGATTAGATGGTTATAATACTACATGCACATAACAGTCTGAGAAACAAACACAACTGACTCTTGGTAAGTGTCTATATCTCAGTAGGTTGGAACATGACAGGAAGATCGTATTCTAACTTGCAGAATGGAGAGTGTTAATTTTAATTCACTGTTGTTAGCTGTTGGTGAGTCAGCCCCTACCTCATGGTGAACCCAGGCACAACAGAATGAAATGCTGCCTGGTTCTGTGCCATCCCCATGACTGGTTGTAGATCATCTGGTATAATTCATAGATTTTCATTGACTGATTCTCAGACATGACTGCCAGACCTTTCATCCTACTGTCTTTATCTAGTAGCTGTGCTGAAACCTGTTTAGTATCATAGCAGCATGCAAGCCTGCATTGACAGAAAGGTGGTAGCTGCATAGGAGGTACACTGATTGGGAACAAAGTCAGGCCTCCCACCTGGGAGGTAAAATTCTACCACTGAAATAGCACTGTCTTTTGTTAATTCATTAAATAGAACATATGCAATCTTTTTTTTGTCTTTTGATAAACTACTGGGTGTATATGACCAAATTCTAATGAAATGAAGATTTTTTTTTTAATAGCAAAATATTCTATTGTAAGATGTCATATTAACAAGTAAAATACAAAAGCATAATTTGGGATGAAAATCTGTTCGATTTACTGAATATTTGATGTGACGCTGTTTAACCGAGATACCTGGATTTGAAATTAGTATATATTAAGGCGATCATTTAAGGTCTGATGTGTACGATGTTGTTGATTACTAATTCCAGTACCTAACAACCCCATGTGACAGAGTCGAACTGTCCCATACGGTTTTCTAGGTTGTAATCTTTACAGGAGCAGATCACCAGGGTTTTCTTCTACAGCACTGCTGGGTGGGTTAGAACCACTGACCTTTCAGTGAGCAGCTGAGTTGTGCCACCAGGAGTTCAATATTTATTTACTACTTTATCTTTATGTCTTCTTATAGGTTATTGGTCTGTTGGATGTATTTACACCTGCAAAGTCTCTGGAGGAATTCAATGATGTGTGAGTAAATTTTTTTGTGTTTGCCTTACTCTGGTAGAGGATGAAGATTAGTGGCCCATGTCTATTCCTAAACAATTTAACAGTACACAGACTTCAAAAGAATCCTTATGCCTTTCCCCCAACATTTCTGGTGGAGCGGGTAGGGGCATAGGTACAGAAGATGTTGGTTATGGGTGGCTCACGTTCATAGTTCCATCGTGTCAGGTGTCAGTGCCCCATTTGAGGAGCCACAGTGAGTACCTTACAAGAGTTCCATGGAGAATAGAATACAGGGAGTTGACTGCCGAGTTGCCTGGCCTAGTTTTTAAAAATTCTTTTCAGGAAATGTAACTAAGTCCTAGTTCCATATAGGCTCATTTCTTTCATCCCATGTGCCTGTGGGAGATCCTACTAGAACTACATGCTGATCCTTGGAGGTCATGGACAATGGATTGGAAGGAGGCTGATGAATAACGATATCCTCCAAGTTTTGTGACCATCTGTTTTAAACTGAATTCCCCTGGGAAAAGTGTCTAAGACTCAGGGACCAATAATGAAAAACCAAAGAAAATGAAATAGGGAAAGCTACTACAAAGATAAGTCATTGAGTTGGTCACCTATGGGCAACTAGACTCAAAACTGCTGAGATCTTCGAAGATGCTCTGTAGAATATGCCTCACATAATGAGGGGTGTTTATCCACTGGCTGTTGACTACAACGGCTGCCCTTACAAACATGGTAATCCCTTACATGCCCAGGCTGCAGACATGTGAGTGTAAGACAGGTTCTAGCAGGCATTCCTGGGTATGTGTGAACACTCTACGATAGCTTTTCCATCCAGTAATCTCTGAATTGGCACTCCCATCCCCCATTCACAAGCACCCCATTTGGTCTTGTTAAAATTTTGGCATTCCTAACTGACAAGAGTGAATATTGGAAAAGTCAAGAAAATTTTTGATCAAAGGGCCTGCTCCCCCTTAACCTCCACTCTCCATCGTCCTCAGTGCTGATCTGGGTTCAGTTTTTCCACCAAACATAATTTGCTCCTTTCCCACAGAATAAGCAGGGGGATATATTTGAGCTTGTATATTCTAAGGTTAGAGAAGGAGAAATAAATGGGATGGGGGTGAGTATAGAAGATAAGATAAAGAGAAAATGTAGCGGAAAAAAATCCCAACATTTGAACTTAGTTGGAACAGGTTAAGAGCAATTGAAAGAGAATCTGGTCCAAGGACAGGAACTCCCCACTCACTTTAGCCTTGTTCTTGCTGATGAAAGTTTAAGAAACAAACAAAGGAAACAAAACAGTAGGCAATAACTAAGATCAGCTGCACTTCTCGAGCCCTGCTCGGTACCATAATGTGGAGGCTTCCAGAGATGATGGATGCCACCCAGCGGCCCGTGCATTATTAGTTGCAGAACCCTTCTGTAGACTATGCTTCAAAAAGAAATTGCACGATAATGATTTTTAAAATACCCCTTCTAAATGTGGACTAAATGCTGAAGTACTGTGTTTGTGAAGAAATGTGCTTGGAAAACATCTGCATCATGTCTTAGCTATATCCCAAACTTGTAGGTATCATGAAGATGGATTTATTTAAGGAAGAAATTGATGATATGCTGCCCTGGGCAGTGCTGTATGTTGACTTACTCTGACATTATGGAACCAGATTATGAAGCTATTTCATCTATGTGGAAAGACCTTAATTAAGACCAGTCTCTAATTAAAAGGCTAAGTTTTATTGATTGTAGTACTACTGACACCTTTATCTTTATGAGGGCCCACCATCTACAAATTTTCCCACTGAAATAAAGTTGTAATTTTTCTTCATTCATTTAACAAAAATTATGACTGCTGTTCTTTCTACTTATCTCTCGAGCTGGTTTCTTACTATTCTTTATAAACAACTGAGTTTATCTCCTAGGAGCAAATGTCAGTACTGATTATTAAATACTCACTGAGTGCAGAATGCTAAACAGTCTTGGAACAGGCTCAGAATAATGAGAAACAGTAGTTCTTACCCTTGAGGATATCATAGTCTGGTGGGGATAGCAAATCCAAACAATTGTGTAACCAAGTTACAATTGGCTGTATGACCTTGGACAACTCATTTTCCTTCTCTAGACCCCAATCAACTTCCCAATAAAATGATGAGAATCAGGGCAGTTGACTTCTGAAGTGTTTTCAATCCCAGAGAATCTCTGAAAATACAATGATGAGCCTAAGATTGCCTTTAGGAAAATAATTCATTGATTACTTTGTTGTGTGATTTTTTACATCACTGAAAAAAAAAAGGGGGGGGGGTACTTGTCCAGAATTATGGGTGTTTCAGTGTTTTCCAAAGCCATTTCAGAATTTGCTTAAGAGACCAAAACATATTCAGCTATAATTGCAGGGTTTGCAAACTCAAAATACCTTCAGGTTCAGCAAATAACATAATGAGTCTGAGTGGGAGTGGTGGGGTCTGTGATAAAACAGAACATGTGCTCCTCCTAAAGGCATCCAAATTCACATTAAAACAAACAAAAAACCCCACTGTCCTGGAAAACTAAAAACAAGGCTGCAGGCTAGAATTGTTCTTCTACAAGTTGTCAGGCTATAATTTTGAACATGAATTTTCTATGATAATTAACAAAATCTCTAACTGTTTTTCAGATGTACAGTTGACTTTTAATGATGTGTTATGTGTAATTGTGCCTTGTTTCAGTTAGCATTTGCATTTATCGTGCAATTCATATTTTTACTGAGCTTAATTTCCAGGCGAATACTTGGGAATAGAGTAAACAAGAATATCCTTTGAGAAAGAAGTTCTGATCACAGGAACTATGTGCAGTTACTGAGTCTAACAGATGGAGATGGCTAAGAAAATGTAGAGTTAGAAGATGAGTGTACCAGAAAGTTGCTTTTGATTACCTTGTGATGTGGTCCTACAGGTGGCAAAACCTTGTGAAGATAAAACTCAATCTTGTAAATGATTGGAAAGCATTTGGACATTTTTGTTGACTTCTTGGCCATAATATTTGGCAAAGGCCACATACATATATGTGCATAAACAGGATACAAATCATTTATCAATAAGACTTGCAAAAATAAAAAATATTTTAACTAGCCAGTAGCATTCAAGGAAGTATATCCATCCACTTACCACTGACATTTGAAGCTGCATCTTTACACTACTGCAGTGTTGCCTCTTCTTAAAATGCTAATGATTCTCCAATCAAACCTAAGGATACTTTGGAACCTATTTCCCTTAAATTACAAGAAAACGAATTTGTTGTGGTTAAATGGAAATCAGCCTCGCTTTATTAGCTTTTGCCACTTTCCCCCATACTTTACAGCTTCGCATCCCAAGTTTCTTTCATTGAGTTCCTTATCTCTGGTTTATTCTTGAAGAGAAAAACGGAGTGGCGTCTAGAGTCTACTGTGATCTGACAGAAGACCTACAACACAGTCAGTCAGCAACTAATGCTTTAGTGAAAGCCAACAGGCATATGATAACCTGCCTCAGCTCACTTACTTAAAAGTGATGGTTCAGATATTAAGTTTAACCTCTGATCTCAATCTAAAAGAGGCTGAGGGCACTGAATGAATAAAAGAAAATTTGGATTTATATTTTAACTAGAATTCATTCAGTAAATACTTGCGTATGTATTCTGTGCTAGGCCCAGTACTATTCTTTGGGGGTACATCAAATAAGATGAACATGATCTTTCATCATGGAGTTGAGAGGGAGAAGGACAATCTAAAAGGACAAAATAGAGTGTGTTAAGTTCATAAATCCTACCTGATTTGGTCATGTGCATTCTCTGACCTCCTCCAACACTCTTTCCATTCTAGCCATTCTGGTCTCCTTGCTCTTCCTTGAATGCCAACCACATTTCAAATGGGACTTTTGCACTGATTTTTTGAAAGTTTTTATTGTGAGATTTACATGGGAGAACATCAGCTTTACACTCATCGTATCATATTTTGTTTCATTGCAATGGTTACCATCCCCTCCATGTATTATCAAATAACCAAAGGGTACACCTCACAGGCTGTGCTGATTTTTTTTATGTTGGCCTGGAATGCTCTCTTTATATTTCCATCAGTCTGGCTCCTTCATTTCCTTCAGCACCCTATTCAGAGGTTCTGAAGGACTACCCCCAGTGTCACCACCTTCTCCTTACCCTGCTTTGTTTTCTTAGCAAATTTTGCCATCATATGTTTGTTATTTAAAGGAGCTCTGGTAGCGTAGTGGTTACGAATCGGGCTGC